AGGTCTTAAACTGACAGCTCCCTGATGTTCCGTGACATTTGCACTTCCTCTTCATGTTGTCAGTCACTATCTGCGCAGAGAAAGATAAATGATGTAAGCAAATCAGATACGCAACAATGACCCTGATGAAATATGCCAATGAAGGGCAAGACTGTGAATAAGCATATCACTCACCTGTCTTCCCATCCGGTTGTTATGTATCCTCATGCGAGCGTGGATGTCTCTTGAAGACCCGCGGGAGTCAAGCCAGTCCCTGGAAAAACGTTCCCCAAAACGGACGTCATGGCTGCAGCCCCCCCACTCCCAGGTCTCCTGCATGGAGCTCAGCTCATCTGGTAAAGGCTTGAGCAGGGCAGAGTGGTGGGTGGAGCGCAGGTTAGCGGGCAGGTCACCATGGTGACCATTTCGCTCTGAGGGTAATGATCGCGCTATGCCGAGGCCTACCCCACCCTTCTGCAGGGTCTGCAGCTGCAGCTGTGTGAGTTTCAGCCGGATCTTGTCATCGTCCTGGCGACGCTTGGCCTCACAGCCACACCCCTGCAGCTTGCCCATGCTGCAGGCCGAGGCCACAGAGTGAGCCACACCCGCTGCCAACAAGGCCAGGGAGAAGGCGCTCTCTCGAAAACCTGCGGGAAGGAGAGATGCACGCTCAAAGACTTGAAAATGATAAACAGTGTAGCTCTAAAACAGTCCTATAGCTTGCCTCAGCCTCTCACCCCTGTTGAGGATGGTGTTGTGGTGGGGAAGCTTGCCAAGGCCCTCCAGTGAGGAGCAGTTCCAGCGCTGGTCCCGGAGCTGGTGCTGGCACTCGTGGATGGCCACCTGGATCCCCTGCAGAGCGGAGGCTGTCACATCGGGGCTCCGCACACACATACGCATCTGACGTTTACTGAGGCCTGCCAGCCTCAGGCACACTGAGTTAGGGGTTAGCACTGGGTCTCCTGCCACCTTCAGGCTGAGGATATCATTACACAGCACCCTGCAGAGAAGGGGAGAGAGAAAGAATTAGTGGGGGGGTCATCAGAGCTGGCCAGGAGTTCATTAGTCAAATCCAGAGAAGTATGTGGCAATGGGGAGATGGTTTTGTATTGTTAAGACAATCAGAAAAATACAAACCCAGGAAAGATTTAAGGAGATACTACAAAATACATCTCATCTCTAAGGGAATTGCTGAATAGCTTGCACTTAGCAATAAAATGTGTTAATCAATTGCACAAGTATTTACTACAGTGCTTCTACTGATGTTGGTTAAAGCAGAGGAAAATATAATCCTAAACAGATCCTCCAGCTGAGAAGTCCCAAAAGCAGAGAATAAATTGCAAAATACATCTTACAGAGAAATAACAACAATGGGATTTATATTTCTTTATGGCATTGTTCAGAGTTGTCAAATGCTACAAAATTAGTAATGCTTTTGTTTCGATATTAAACTAAATCAGCCTGTGAAAGCAGAGGCAGATGTTTCACCTTTTAACTAAATATGTTAAATATTCGTTTAAATCACACAGTAACTTCCCTCAGCTCTCGCCGAATTCCATGAAGCCAAACCCCGCATGTAACATCAACTCTCCTGGCGCTCTCAAGTGCACTCACGTTAATGCAGGTGACATAAGTGCTGCTGCCAAAATCAGGAATTGGTCCCAACGGAGTTTGTTTGATAGCTCCATTTTGTTAAGCGTCTTTCGCGACGTGACATTAAAACACTGGTACTAGCGTCCTGTATTGAAGAAGAATATCAAACAGAAGAAGAGTGGAGTATTATCGATGCACCGCCAAACGACCGAAGAGTGAAGACGGAGAACAGAGGAGCTCGGGGGCGAGAGTAAACGGGGGGGGGGGGGGGGGAGAAAGAGGGGAGGGGAGGAGATGCCTCTACAGACGGCTGTTTGCAAAATATGAGAGTCGGATCACCAGTTGATCATTGTATTATTTTAGAATCTGATCAGCCACTCGACCGAGCGTAAAATGACGTCTCCAAACTTTTACGCACAAGCACCACATTCCATGCCGTGTGCGCACGACGGCCTCATGTTTTGGTAGGCAAACTAAAACACTAGATCATATAAACATGTTCAATAAGATACAGAAATATGAATGAATGTATTTGGCTTTTTATTCGGGGGTCTGTATATTGTGTAGCACAGACTTCCATTTTTTTCTGGAGAGAAAGTGCAAAGAAAACGCTCCGTAAAATGAAATATAGGAAGTCAAAGAAGATTTTGTTCATAAAGGGGTGAGTTAAATGATGGATGGGGGGAGGGGAGAGCTGCTGGTTCCACTGTACGACAGGGAGGCAGCAGCAGGCAGGCGGCTCCGCTACCAGACCCTCCAACAACAGTTTTTAGTCATGTGGTCCCCCTTCCTCCCACCTCCATCAGAGCGGCTGTTCTTCATTGTTGTGTTTGAAACAACTTCACTTATCACTCCAAAGTCTTTATTCCGGAGTATAAAATTATATACATAAATTATGCGTATGACAGGCCTGACTTTTCGGATTATTTGTCACATGATGGCATCACATAAACCGACAAAAATCGAATGGCAAATAACACTTCTGGATTCATTAAAATGGGTATGTGGTGCGTTAGAGGTAGCAGGGCCTTAACGGCTTTTAAACACATCTTATGCATATTGAAGACATGACCAAACAGCATCTCAATTATCTATTCAAATTCGTTTTTCATGCTCAGTAATGATTAGGCGTATGAAACCAGATGCCCAGGCCTTCTGTTAGGACTTGGTTAGGGATGACGTGGCAGCTCGGCATCGAATCAATCAGCATATTGATCCAAATTAAACCCAAACTACTGCTGCTACTGAATCAACAGGTCAATCATACAGTGAGACTGCTAATTATCCCACAATTTGAAAACCACACTAACAATAATAATCACTGCTGTTGGGACCAAGTAGGTGCATGTGGGCTACTTTCATAAAATTAAGTTAAAACCCCCCTCGAACACGGTTCGCATAGTGACACCAATTCATCTAATCTCCTTCCATCCCTAAGCTGCGGCAATGAAAAGTGCATTAGCATTCTGCCTTGGCGTGTATATCTAAGTGGCTTAAAAAGTGATTTGAAGTTGATTTGTATATAAAAGGCCCCCTTTATCCGGATTGAAGCTCTAATCTGCTCGGTGTCGCATGACTGCTCCAGGAAACCCGTTTGAGCACCTTCATATAAGGCTGGAGTATAAACGTAGGATGGCTGTCATTAAAGCCTTTTTTTTTTTTTTTTACAAAAGCCCACTTCCTTTTGCTGTCATCTAAAGGGAAAAGGAGAGAGAGAGAGAGAGAGAGAGAGAGAGAGAGAGAGAGAGAGAGAGAGAGAGATTATTCAAGCTACGACCGCTACAGTGACTAATGTGGAACATGCAAATTAGCAGATAAATGTCACATAATGAAACATTCCCCTATGTACCATGTATGCAGAAGTTTGGGGACATTGAAGCCTGCACCCAGTCTGGGGTTAGATGGAGATGCCGCAAAGTGGCTCAAGCTGTGATTACACTGGGCTACATGTGCGTCGATGGAGGTCTGCAGGCCAGATGTTTGGAATGTTTTTTATTCGTACTCGTCCCCCTCTCTCTCCGGTTCATCATACATCAAACTTCTGATTGAAACCCGTAATTCATCTCTCTCCGCGTTCGAAAAAACATTTAAGTAGCCCAGCAGGCAGTGTGAGTTATATGACAACTAAGAGCGCATTATTGCTTCTTTCTACATTCAAGTTTCGTTGTGCGTGTGTGCGCGCCTCGTGGGCTATAAAGACTGGTGATAACAGTTTTGTGTATTGGGCCTAATCTAAATGAGCTTCTAAATATATTAGGAAACCGTCATGAAAGACACGTTATATCAGGTTATTAATAATTAGGTGTAATAGGCTAATAATGTAAAATAAGGGTGTACATGTAAAGGGATTACTGTGAAAAGGAAACGAAATGGTACTGAAATGTCCTTAGTAACTGCACATTTTGAGAGCGCATTTGGAGAGAGGAGGAGGAGATGCGGTTAGGGAGTAGGCTAATCCAACCACCGGGTAAAAAGGGCAGTTTTTAGATGGCTGTAACTGTATTGCACCGTGACACCAGCTTTGAGCAGCGGCGGAGCACCAAACCGGGCGCACCCACAGCATCTGTACCAGCACATCATTGCTCCAGGGGCACTTCTCCTTTCTGCAAGACTGGATGTGGAAGCAAGCGCGCGGCCAGTTGGGAAAACACTTTCAGCCGCACACATTTACAGGGAATCGATTCTGTGATGACCGTGAGATTCCACAAGTAATATGCGCAACACTGTGGATTGCCCTATTTTTTTTCTCTTCCTTTCTCCTTTCTGCCCAGTTGTGTTTCCTTATTCATTGTGCGCCCTATGAAGAGCATTAACTATCCCTCCCTCCAATCCTATTGAAAAGGCTCCGAGAAAAAAACAGAGGGAGATGAGAGCAGCAAATCCCTTTTTTTATTCCCCTCGTAGCGCTCAATAAGAGAAGAATGTGTTGCCTATCAGTCACCGAGGGGATCAAGTCTTCGGGACTGTCCCACGCGTTCAATGCGCCGTGCAGAGCATCACTGAGAGAGACAGAGTGAAGAGGACTGCAGCAGCAGTAGCATCCTGCCTGGACACTTCACATCATTTAGCAACCTGTCTCCACTCAGGATCCATTTAAGTCAATTAGGGCCTGCTTCTCTCACCTTTCAAGTCCTCTCACCGGAGCGTGGCGCGGTGAGTACGTACACCTTGCAGCACGCTCATTTTGATCACAATTTAGGATCATATCTCCTGTAAGCCACCTTGATGTGCGAGAACATGCAATGACAGGCTTTTGTCTATTTATTTTTTTCAGGCAGATTGTGGCGATATTTTAATTTGTTATAAAATGTGTGTATATTTGTGCTCAAGTGTTCAGATGAATAAGATATTTGGAACTATAGGCTAAAACTTTGAGAAAAATCCATGACAAAAAAATTTGACATTTTCCTCCTCATGAAGGAGACACGATGAGGAGTCTGGCGCTGCTGTTAGGGGTGAAAGCCGCTTGCATCCTTTTGGTATCTTCGCTCTCGGGCACAGGGGCCGTCAACAACAGCGGCCGGTGGTGGTAAGTTCACCAGATAATGTGTAGGCTATGTCATTATGCATCCATTCGGTAATCAGCATCCTACTACTGAAAACGTTAAATTTAACGCTGGTTTGAGCGGGGAAGACCCTTCGCAACAAACAGTGTATTACTGGGCTACCACATTCCATGCTGCATGCTCCAAGTGTTAGTTTTGGCACTGTTCACAACTTCTGTGCAGCCTTTGAAAAAAAAAAAAAAAAAAAGGAGCAACCGCATGATATTAAAGCTTGTGGGATTTTAGCTGTCGTTTCCAAATTGCTCCTCATGAGCAAGTATTTTAATAAAAAAAAAAAAGTTTAATTTATTGTTGTTTCAGTGAAATTAACTACACCATACTATCTATTTAACAACACAGAACTACCATTTGTAATAACGACGTTTTACCTTTTATTTGCGGTAGATTTAATTCTCTCTCTCTCTCTCTCTCTCTCTCTGTCTCTGTGCTTCCCTGTCATTTGGACAGTGTGGTTTGAACACGAGACAACATTTTTCAGTCCAATGTGGGATAAATTAAATATGGATTTATTTCATAGCTGAAAGGAATCCCATACGAGGTCTAATACAGGGTCGTGTTGATCTAATACTGTACATTCCTCCATACAGCGTCCTAAAACTAAAACATCCAATTTCACAATATTTTGTTACAAAAAACAAAACAAAAAATAAATAAATGGGATCTGGACAGCTTTGCGTCAGCGGGCACATTGCCTCGCTTGTTTAAAAAGCTATAAACTGTGGGCTGGGTTTGTCGAGGTAATGATTTAACGAAAGATTTTGTCGTTTTTGCGGTGTCATTAGATGGACAGTATTTGCGCACAACGTCAGGCGTTTTCAAATATTTAAAGTGTCTGCTGACATCCAAGAAAACATCTAGAAAAAGAAAAAAATGAAAAAGAAAAGAAGAGACGCCGCGGAGTTTTGGAATGAAGAAAAACATCCAAAAGACGAGATTATTATTAATGTTCACAGGCCTCAACCGCACAACTGTCTGGGTCAGCCCTCTAACAGGCCAAGGCTCGCTCGCTTTTCCGGATGATAATGCTTAACAGGAGACACAGCCATTACACTACAAGTGAACCCCCCAAAAATGTTGACACAGAAATCTCACAGAAATTTCCAGCAAATAAAGTGAAAAATTAAACAGCCATTGTACTAAAACACTATTCTACAAATGTTCTGAAACCTGACCACGAATGTGAGTGCATGTAAGCCCTTCAGTGATCCAAACTTTGTATAAAAGTGAAAAGGCACAGGTGCTATGTGGACATAAATTTGGACAGGTTACAAACCCTAATACCAGAATATTTTACATACATCATGTGGCAGTGTGACAGCATTAACTGAGTTATTATTGGTTTACTTAATAGCAAAGTTTTTAGGATTTCTTATGCTTATATAGTATAGCCTACAGAATATGCCTTTTTACATTTACAGTTTACAAACCTTCTGTACAATGGCCTTCTGTTTAATGACTTGGGACATTTGGATAGGATGGACATATTTATAGGGGAGACTGGACCTTCATCATCTCTCTAACCAGGAGCCCACTCTCTCATGTCATGTCTTTTTGTTTGTTTGTTTTGTTTATCAAGTGGAGAAGAGAATGACATTAAATAGGACAACACATATGCAAACCCGTGAAGGGTGATTTTCTGAGTGTCCACTCAGCATCTCTCTATGATAACATTTTTATCCTATGAGAATATGACAGGTGCTAAATATTTAGCAGGAGAATATTGTTATATTCTAATAATAATGAAACTGACACGTCGTTGTATTTGGTTTGGATCCAAGTGATTTATAAAGAGATGAAAAAAAGAGTTTCATGTTATTTGCCAAGTCAGAAACCTGCATTTTGATTCAGAGACTTGCTGTCTCCCCACGGTCTTGGAAGAGCATTTGTCACTGCTGTACATAATTTTAAAAAGGCACAAACACTCATGAGATGCCAAGACACATCAGTTAGGAGTTTAGAGGGTCACAAAAGGAGCTACATGCATAAACAGCCAGAGCCTTGACTCTGATTTCCTTTGTCCTTGTGTTGTGCCAGGGGTATTGTCAATGTGGCCTCTTCGTCCAACCTCCTCACCAATTCCAAGAACGTGCAGTTAGTCCTGGACCCGAGCCTGGCCCTACTGAGTCGTCGCCAGCGCCGGCTGATTCGGCAGAATCCTGGCATCCTGCATGCCATCGCCGCTGGGCTGCACACCGCCATAAAGGAGTGCAAGTGGCAGTTCCGCAACCGCCGCTGGAACTGCCCGACCACCCACAGCCCAGCAGTTTTTGGCAAAATTGTCAATCGTGGTGAGCTTCTCTTGTCTTTCTTACGGGGCAATGTTTGGACATTTTTGGGCAGGATGTAATCTCTTGTACACATTTAAAAGGATTTGTCTCCAAATATTTTACAATTTTGGGCAAAAAACTGTCAAAGCCAAGCCTAAAAGTCTGGATCAGGGTCTGATGGGAAGTTTTGATGTTGTTTCCTCAGGTTGCCGAGAGACAGCATTTGTATTTGCCATTACCAGCGCAGGGGTGACCCATGCTGTGGCTCGCTCCTGTTCAGAAGGGGCCATTGAGTCGTGCACATGCGATTACCGCCGCAGAGGTCCTGGAGGGCCAGACTGGCACTGGGGGGGCTGCAGTGACAATGTGGACTTTGGCCGGATGTTCAGCCGTGAGTTTGTGGACTCCAGCGAAAGGGGCAGAGATCTGCGCTACCTCACCAACATACACAATAACGAGGCTGGCAGAATGGTAAGGATTTCACACTCAAACATGATATAATTGTCCGAATTCCCACATGCTTCAAATTTATTTGGGATTTCCACAATGGAGGAGTTCATCAGTTGCCTTTGGTCTTCCTCTCTGCAGACTGTGTCATCAGAGATGCGTCAGGAGTGTAAGTGCCATGGCATGTCAGGCTCCTGCACCGTGCGTACTTGTTGGATGCGCCTGCCCAGCTTCCGCACAGTGGGAGACTTCCTTAAGGACCGGTTTGATGGTGCATCCAGAGTGGTTTATGCCAACAAGGGAAGCAACCGTGCCTCTCACCGAGCAGATCCCCGACATCTGGAGCCCGAAAACCCGGCTCACAAACCTCCTTCCGCCATGGATCTGGTCTATTTTGAGAAATCACCAAACTTCTGCTCATACAATGGCAAAACTGGCACTTTGGGAACTTCTGGGAGAACATGCAACAGCTCTTCTCCAGGCCTGGACGGATGTGAGCTGCTCTGCTGTGGACGCGGGTTTAAGACCCGGACTGAGAGTGTGACTGAACGGTGCCACTGCACGTTCCACTGGTGCTGTCATGTCAGTTGCTTGAACTGCACCAGTACAAGAACGTTACACCAGTGTCTATGATCACAGGTGGACAACCAAGTGAATATTTAGGCATCTATGAAAAGGCAAAGAACTTCTTAGCAAAGCAAGTAGTTGGCTGAGAAAGCCACTAGCACGCAGGTGGTTTGAGGTGTTTATGTAGAAGCCAGAAAAGCTTCATGGCGGGTAAACTGATACAGGGAACTCTAGCACAAACATTCAATCAGTGTTTTTGAAAGAGGTGGAGAAAAGCACAAATATATGAACAGGGTATAGAGGGAGTATATGTGCTTGATTTCTTGCCTTTTATGTTTAACAGTATTAGGAGGGTAATGAAACACTACAACCATCCACATAGAATGGAAATCATCCACATGCCTCAAGTGTTTACACTGTGGAGAAATAGAATTAAAATTAAAAGGACAAAATGATGTGGCGGAGAATCGATTGCTGTAACCAGGTAGTACAAGAGCCTTCTTCTTCCCCACAGAGGGCAGAAACTGGACACAATGTCTCACAGATGCTTCTGTGGCCAGAGAGCCACAAACATGTGCTCTCATAAACTGGTGAAGACCTCTAACAAGAGGAAAGTTATTTTAAAAACAAAACACAACAGTGTTTTGTTTTCTTTTGCTGAAGTTTGGCTTCTCTCATACAAAACTGTGTGAAATTTATCTCTGGGGATGGGCCGTCTGTTCCCAACTTGTGTACTTAGGCCTTGGATGTAGCCCAAACACTTATAATTTCCTCACCACATTTGCCCCTTTATTTGGAATTCTTAGGAGTTGAATACACCTCAACCTTGATTTGCCACTCTGACTCACCACAGGATGGTCCTGATGTTACATGACTGGGACCAGTGGTCGCCAAGGAAAATAGAAAGTGTCTGAACAAATCTTACTGAGGCAATGTAATTTGAATGTATTATCAATACACTGAATCTTATGGCACGACTAGACTAGTAGTTTGGCAAATCTGAAGGGTCAATATAAAAAACATTTATGAAATGTGACCTGCAAAATCTCACCATGCTGTCAAAGTGAAAACTAATGCCATACTGAGACGTACATTGAAGTAACAAAAAGATACTAAATTTCTGTTAATGCAAGAGTGTAGCATCAACCAGGTCCAGGTTTAAAGTAGGCAAATGGTGTATTACTTCAGGCCAGGCTGTTGTAAAAAGCAGCTAAACATTTTATTGGGAAGAAAACAGCCTCGGCAGAAGAAATCATCCTGTAACAGCTAATAGAACCAAAATGCTGTAAATATTAAAATATATGAATATATATTTATCATGATGTCATTTGTAAGTTTGCTGAATGATTTATGCACCTGTCAGTGGCTGGAGAATATACTATCATTAGTGTCAAGTCAGGAGATGTTTTGATGTTATGCCTTTTTCTATTTTGGTGTAATGTAGCTGACACTAAACCGACCCTTACTAGAAACGGAACATTTTATCACTTCTTTGCTTGTTGCCTGTAAAAAAAAACAAAAAACTTGTGTTCATGCACTGAATATTTACCTTTTTTTTTAAGATGAGTGTAAATGCAAAATATTTATTTCTGAGGATTTTTGTACTGTCATAGAGAGATGTAAGAGAAGAACGTTTTTAGATTATGATCAAAAGATTTTGGTTCCAGTTGGTTTCGTATTGTATGATAGAACAATAAAGTCTATATTTTCAATTAAGTTGCCCTCCTGAATGAGTCAAAAGATGCTATTATGTCTGTTTCTGTAGTTTCTGTGTTTGAGATAGTTTTGACAACCAACCAAGTGAACATATAAGCCTGTCCCTGGGTGTCCTTTGCTTAATCCTATTAACGCCACCAAAGCAGCCTCTTTCTCCAGCTCACAAAACATCCCCGCATCTGCTCTCACAACCCTCTTATCCAGCCACATACCTTATTTTATACAGTACAGGATTTTACTGCATTGAATGTTTTGCTTAATTTGCTTAATGTCGGAAAAAAATAAAGAAATAGAATGAAAAATAATGAAAACGTCGAGTCTCCCCCAGCCCATGGCAATGTGACCAACCATGGGAGTTTGGAAAGCTTTCCACTTACTGCTTAGCCCACCACAGCACAAGAGCAACCCGGGTCATCCAGACAGAGCACAGTGGAGGCAACGTAAGGCCACCAACACACATTGCAAACATCCAAAGGTCCCAATAACAGAGCAACAATGTTGTAGCGGTAAGGGCAAACGGGCGACATAGAACCAAGGACAGGGATGAGAAATTTTCTGAGTTACAGCCTTGATGTTACATGATAAAAATGGGGGATCACAAGGGTCTGCTTTGCTTGTTAAGTTAAATAATAAATCAATAAATTCATTAGTCAGCATCTCAAATCTGTAGTGAAATCTGTAATCAAATTATGGGGTCACATGAGGGTGGATGGCCTACCATAACAGAGAGATGAGAACCTATTATTTATATTGATCACAAATTAATATCTCGTATGACTGGATAAAAGGGGTGAACACGTGATGTGGCTTAAAGTGCGATGTGTGTGAGAAAACATCAGGAGAAAGCAAAAGATCACAAACATGACAATGATAGAAACCTGGTTTGAGAGAGAATTGATAGGCGATCGTGTATACACAGAAAGAAACAAAAGAAGGTGGCAGACCGATTTAAGAAAAGAAGAGGGAAGGCAGAGTTCAAATCCTAGGCGTGAGAGTGAGATGGGAGTTGGTGGAGAAAGTGAGAGGAGGGGGTGCTGCCGGTGGGAGTGCTGAGGAGTCAGTGATAATTAGCTCAATTAGTGACAAAGGCAGTGTAATAAATACCGACTTAGTGTCTGGGTCCCTGCTGGCCTCTCCCTGCGCAGCCTGCGATGTGGCCCTGGCCTGACGGACAATTCATTAAACTGACAAAATACCCCACCGTCCAGGCGTGACGCAGCGAGTTAGCCCCCTACAGGCCCAGCTCATTGTTCTAATTGTCTGGGCTGGAGTCACTTTGTGGCCGCCTCCTCCTTCACCCACCCCGCCTTCACGCTCTTTCCTTCAGAAAACCCGTGGAGTTAATGCCCCTACCTTACTCTGTAAGTAGGTGATCGGCAGGTTGGGAAAAAAAAGCAGTAAGAGTTCCTTGGGGTGGGGCGGCTGGTGGGGGAGGCAGTGGGATTAGCGAATGGAGGTTGCCTGGGAGTGCTGGGAGCAGCACCGATCGGAATGTAGGAGAGATGAGTCCAGAAGCTCGGATGCGGGACAAAGCGAGAGTTAATAAGGAAAGATTGAAGGGGCTGGCGACAATGGGCCGCCACCCGAGTCGAGATGAAATTGCTTCCGAGGATTATTGGAGAGGTTGTGAGCGTTGTAGGCTTTTTTGTGTGAGTGTGTGTTTGGTTGGGCATTTGTGTGTGCAGGGGGCAGGGGGAGCGCTGGATTGATGGCTGCCCCTCTGGTTGGGGAGCAGGGGACCAGGGGAGGCTAACCGGCTGTTCCCACAGTCTGTTCTGCTGCAGCCACCTTTGACACACGGGGGCTGCCAGGCGGCGAGCAGGCAGCCATGGTGAGAAGGGCACAAACAAAAACAACAGCTCCACTGCACAAAAATCACACTCTCTGGAAGGCTGGTGGAGAAGCGCAGGCTGGAGGTGATGGCGTGAGGAGGGGGGAAAAAAGGAAGGGGGCAGAAAAGTGTGACGGGGAGGATGGCACAAAATTGTACTGTTGGCTTGGATCAGCTACTGGATTGCCAGTATCTTAAGATAATAACACACTGACATTCAGCTGCGGCTTGCTCATGATCAGAATATATCACGTTAGTGTAACATTTATGCAGCAATATTCACTTTGTCACTTTCTAAACGGTCATATCAAAAATACTTGGTCCTGGGGCTTGCCAACTGTTACATGGTCAGGATAAATCTTTATTTACAAAATAAAAAATCTTAATTGAACCACCATCTGGTGCTGTATTAAAAGTGTAGGACCCTTAACTTCAAGAGCAACATAACAGGGGTACAGAATCAAAGTTAACTGAACCATTTTACCAATTAAGTAACTTGACAATAAGACATACTGACCTCTTTCACCTGAGAGTTAGAGGGTCACATACAAAAAAAGTTTCATGATTTAAGCTTGAGAAAGGAAACAGTCTTCACTTGCCCAAACTCCTTACAACAATGCAGCAATCAGGTCAATCACCACAGAACATGCAGAGAAGATGATACGGCATAATGAAAGCACAGCAGCTTCATATTAAAATTCCTGCTAAATTGTGGAAAAGTGTTTGCCCTGGTTGGGTGGAGTTGGCTTTAATTTGAAGGGCGTATGATAAAGAATTCAGAATTGGGTTTGGGTCACCGCACTGAATGATAGGCTGCTCACAGTGGTTGCGATGGACAATGTGGCACGGCTTGGATCCGGCGCACAGTGCTGATTTGATATCCGTGCTGACCCAACAATTCATTGTAATCCTAGCATGCGGGCTGAGTTCCAATTAATTAAGGCATTGTTACAACGGGAACACCCTTACGTTGCTCATGTAATAATCGGAAGCATTTGCTTGCTGCCATTTAGTGACCACAGGGATATTATGTAATAACATATGCATTTACAGCCTCATCACACACACAGTACATAAAGAATTATAATCAACTAAACCTCACTTAAAGTTACACAAATTCAACTCAGAATTCTAGGAAACAACGGAAAGAAGAAGAAGAAAGTGTGTGAATGTGTAAAAATGTGTGTGGGTTTGTGTGTGTGTGTGTGTGTGAGTGAGAGAGTGAGTGAATGAGTGTGTGGATGGCAGCTGGGAGGCAGACACGGTCCAGGAGAATCGTCCCCTAGCAACTGACCTTTTCGGCAGATGGCAGTTCCAGAGTAACAGCCACCCAGCATCACAATGGCCACGGCCTCCTAACATCTCCATCACTTCATCATCTACCGACCTGCCACAACCTGTCACACACAGGAGAGAGGGGCGGGTCACATTCATCCCGGCGAATGCACAAGCATGTATTTACGCACTCAAGTGTCCATTCTTTTTTCCTTTTAAATCACATTACACACACACACACACACACACACACACACACACACACACACACACACACACACACACACACACACACACACACACACACACACACACACACACACACACACACACACACACACACACACACACGTTTGGGTCAGCTCTCAGCCGTTCCCATGTTCCTTGGGGTACGCAGCAAGGCCAGTCGAAGGGATGAGAGGAGGATAGATTTAGGAGAGACAGAGCGGACACTCACTGCTGTCCGCAAACCTCCAGACACTCTCAAACCACTGTTTTTCCGTTGTTGGGTTTTCTGCACACAGTGAATCAGGGTGGGAATGTGGACAGACCACTCGACCATGGTGAGCAATCAGTATGATGTCTGTGGTCAGGCTCTGTGCCCCTGTGGAGCGAGATGGAGAGCGAGCCCTGCAGTTAAGGTGGGAGGGATATAAGTTTTGCGGCGTCTGTGTGTTCGTGCACGCACATGTGATATGCCAGCACTCTTCACGTGTGTAGAAAGACGTCACGACTTGCAGCCTCCTGCGTGTGAACACAGGGTGAGTGAATCTGCACTGGGTGATAATATAATTTGAGCTATCAACAGCCCCCACCACCCTCTGCACAGCATGACCTCTTGATTGTTTTGGCTTGGTGGCCCTTTTCTCTTGGCCCCTTTTTATGTTGATATTTAATATTTTAAAAATGCCTCATCACCCTGACTAAATACCTAAAAGTGCAAAGACTGAATGGTCAGCTTTAAGTACCATTTGACAAAAACACTGGATATCCACAGGCGGTAGTTTGGTGAGAAAAATTATCCAACAAGAAAAAGTTCAACTCCCCAGTCACACATCTGTAAATGGTTAACCTGGCAAGACCAGGCAAAAGACAACAAACAGATAAAGTGACATGTCAAAATCGGTTCCACTGGGATTAAGCGTTTTAGGTGGAAAACTGTGCGTCAGAGCGCGACTTCAAACCACTGTGTATTCTGGGGGAGATCATATGCTAACAGCCCTCCTGTAAACAGAGCTGTAATGACAGGGAACGACTTTGGGGAAGGACAATCGACAGCAGAATATGTTTACGGACATCTGACAATGTATGTGTACAGCGCAGCAACGTTTCAGCTCTGAGCTCCATGTGAAATATGAGCACAAACTGTGGTGGAATCTATGTGACACAGCATAAGCCTGTGCATCATTTCACCTGTCAGCAGGGATGAAGCCCGCATTTATTCAAATCAAACTGACTAGTCAGTGATAAATCGCAGCAATATGTGTCTGGCAATACTGAATGTTAACACTCCTCTTCAGCCAAATGTACCTGAAACTGTCTAACATTAGATCTGAATATATGATGAGGGTTTTTTTGTGCCATGTACTGTTTTACTTGCCTAGATGTGAGATCATCTGTGCTACGCAGTGAAATGACTAACCACAGCAAGGCAAAATTTCTGTATCTGCATTGCACTTAACCAATAAAGATGATTCTGATCGTTTTATTGTCAGTTGGCCCTTCTTGACATCATCTGGACCACAACATGCCATCTTTGAGTCAATAAACCGCGCCGAGAAATTGTTGAAGGCATGGGGTGATTATCTCTAATGTAGTAATACTGTTGGAAACAAAAGGAGAAATGCTGAGTTTTTGGTTTTAATTACAAGCTGTGTTTTACAGCGACAGTGGG